CGGCAATCAATCAGGAATTGTCAGAAGGATGGTTCAAGAGTTACAAGACCGAGTGAAAAAGAGAAAACATATTTTAGATAAGAGCCCATGGACAGGCCTCTGGGGCTGGACCTCCTGGCTGGCACCGTTCATAGGTCCCTTGCTCCTGATTTTTGCAGTTCTGCTATTTGGGCCCTGTGTCCTAAACTTCCTGAACTGCTTTGTCAGTGAGCGGATAGAGGCTATAAAACTTCAGATGTTAGCCTCCAATTATGAGTCCCTGCAACAGTTAAATGATGATGCTTACTCCAACAAGGGTTGTGAAAGCATCAAGAAGGGGGAATGTGAAGGAAAAGCCCAGCTGGGCTAACAAGATAACTCATAAATCTGAAGTTTAGTGTCAGTCTATTGGGCTAACGAGCTCAGTCACAAATCTAAGTGTGATAAGTGTCGGTTTACTGATATAAGTTCTGCCAGGCTAACTTGTAAATCTAAAGTTTAGTGTCAGTTTACTGGGCTAACAAGCTAACTCGTAAATCCAAGCTCAACAAGTGTCAGTAACGTGATCTGTTCCAAATTGATAAGCTCCAGTGTACTGATTCCTTGCTTTTTGTTGTTTGAACCTCATTGGCTAATAGCCCCATACTTGTAACTAACCCTATAAAACCTCATGTGCACGTCTTGGAAGTGCTCAGAGCTTTGGAGCAGAAGCCCCTCTGAGCCCGCTGGCGTAGTAAACCTGAGGACTCCAACCCTCCGAGTGGTGCTTGTTTCTTGGCTGGCCTGTCATTTCCATAACAATATAAATAAAATGAGAATATCAATAAAAAGATAGAAAGGAACCAAACAAATTCTGGAGCTGAAAAGGACAAAAAGAATTAAAACCTTACTAACAGGTTCAACAGCAGAGTTAATCTCATGTTACCCTAAGCTCTTGTATTTCATGTACTATGAAAATAGTGTTTCCAAGCAATGGTCTGCTCATCAAAATGGTGCATCTCAGTTGTGTTAAGTATATAATGACTTGCCGTGTTAGCAGGATAAACCCAAGGTTTGTTTTTAAAACATCAAGGTTGAAACCATGCCAAGTTCCTGTTGCAGTCATAATGGAATCAGGCTAGAAATCAATAACAGAAGGAAAATGGAAAAATTCACAACCATGTGGAAACTAAAGAACTCACTCATAATATCGAATGATGAAAAAAGAAATCACAGAGGAATTAGAAAATACATTGACACAAAGTAAATGAAAACACAAAACACCCAAACTGAAGGTGTACAATGGATGCAGTATTGAGGGAAACAGATAGCTTAAATGTATTCTCTGTGTATTATTAAGCAATATAAGATTAAAAAGAAGAAAATTAAAAGAACAGTTAAAAACCCAGCGTAAAAGCGGCATTTCTTCTGGGAGAGGCTGGGTAATGCCAGGTTAATGAATATTATCTCTGTGTTTTCTGGAAGGGTTTCCTGTTAAGGTATAAAGGCCCTTATGACCACTGGATTGGGCTGAGCAGAGAAGAAGGACAGCTGTGGAAATGGATAAATGGCACTGAATGGAACAGTTTGTAAGTTCTGAAAAACACGGCAGCAATGTTTGTGTTTGAATTTACTTTGCCTGAAAATGAGAGTGTTCTTCAGTTGTTTGCTCTAAAAATTCTTATTTTATGATTAGTCATAAAGGAAGTGCCAGTTTGTACGTTGCAAGGGCTTTGCAAGCTCTTTGAACCAACCCAAAGTCTATCACAGGTGGCACGGTACAAGGACTACAGATTTGATGCCAATCTTATCTACATCATTTACCAACTTTTTCAGTTTGAGCAAACCACACAACATCTTACTACCTCTGTAACAAAATCAATTGTACTTGCCCTGTTGATCTTACGGTTGACAAAAGGATCAGAGTTTTGAGGTGTATGACTGTGATGTGCTTAACATTAAAATATTGCATAAATGCAAGATAAGTTGCTAAATTAAACTACCATTGCATCAGTCTTTGGCCCTTTACAGGGGGATGACGAGAGATGGTAATAATACCTAATATTTATAAAATTATAGCTATAAGGTATAGGACAGGCAAAGTTTGGCGTTGTCAAATTTAATCTCAATTGTATATTTATAAGATCTTCCTATTACTGAAAACATTTTGGATAATGCTGAAAGACTTGGATTCAGATATTTTCACTAAATGCTTTCTTGTCTGAGGAGATGAGGGGATTTTGAAAAGCTGCTTTATGATGATAAAATAGCCAACACTGAAAACATTTAGTGACAAGGGCCCTGGACTGGACATTAGTAGGTCTGAAAGCTAGTTCTTACTCATTAACTCTTTGACCTTGGACAGATAGTAAGTTTTAGGAATTAGAATGTATATTTATCCACTGTGGTATCTGCAGTGCCTAATTTTGGATGCTTGATAAATATTAGAATTAACCTTTCTTTCTTTACAATTCTGATGTATTTACTCTGTCTAAACGTGTTTTAAGGATCAAATACATTGTTAACTATCCAGTTATTGAAAACTGATGATCACTATGGAAATGAAAAACATTATATTTATTAAGACCTAGCATGTCTCAACAATTAGCAAATCCCATCAGAGTACTGAAATTTCAACTAGCAAAGCGGAGAAACTTACAGTCTAAATGCTGACCCAAATGTCTGTGTCAGGCCATGAAACTCAGCTGAACAGCATCATATTTTTAGTACTAGAACAACCAGGGAAGTATGAAGGCTGTCGTGAAATCTGGGGCTTAGAAAAAGCTGCTGAGGTCTCCAGCTATTTAAGGAAGTGGAATATTGCTGAAACTGTTGGGAAAAGACCATGGGTCTGACCTTTCCCACGAGCCAACTGGAGCTTTGGATGTAGTAAGGAACACTGCGCTTCAAAATTTGTAGCTACTGACAGGCATATGCAGAATAGAGAAACAAGGTTATACTGTAGAGCACAGGGAAATGTATACAAGATCTGGTGGTAGCTCACAGCGAAGAAAAAATGTGACAATGAATAAGTGTATGTTCGTGTATAACTGAAAAATTGTGCTCTGCACTGGAAATTGATACAACATTGTAAAATGACTATAACTCAATAAGAAAATGTTAAAAAAAAAAAGAAAAAGAACACTACGCTTATAGATGGGAGACAGATTTGCTTCATTGACTCTCTAGTTGATTTCTTGTAGCTGCAGCTAATCAAAGCCCATTGACTAGTTAGTGATCAACACATAAGCCAGGAGAAAATCTGGCCCTAAGAATGAAAAGAAGGTGCCTGCAACATAGTAGCATTTCTTCACTTCTCTCTTTCTCAGAGTGAGGGAGGTGGAAATAGCTTAGGCCCTGGTTTTTCATGGATTTAGGTATAAATCCTAGTTTTATTTGTTATGGGACCTTGGAAAGTTCAAAGGTTATTTTTTGTTTTTGTTTCTAGAAAGAGATAATAATAATAAATATCTTACTGGGTAATTTTTAATATTGAAGAGATGGCATGTGTGATGTGTCTTCTATTTAAAAGCTGAGTTAATGTTGTTTATTTTTCCATCTTCATTCTCTCTGCATTTGAAGGATTGTCCAGTGACCAACTGATTGATTCTGCTTCTTCCATTGCAGTTTTCCTATTAAAGGAGGAGGCGAGTGTGCCTATTTGAATGACAAAGGGGCCAGCAGTGCCAGGCACTACTCAGAGAGGAAGTGGATTTGTTCAAAGCCAGACGTGTACGTCCAGATGAGGAGACAAAGCCCGAAATGACCTTCAGACGTACATTTGTAGGTGCTTAATAGATTAGTCTCCCCATGCTTTCCTTGCATTCATTTATACTGATAAACCAACTGAAGATGATGCTCATATGCAAATAAGGTATAACAAAAGTTGACCAACTAGGAACAAGCTTTGTAGAAATAGACCAAGCAGGAGGGAGAGAAATAACCAATCAGAGTGAAGGAAACAACCAATCAGGAGTGAGGGAAATAAGCAATCAGGAGTGAGCTCAGGGAACCAATAGAATTTTAGGGGTAAGTGAGCAGTTTCAGGCAAAAAGTGAGAGAGCCTCTGT